TAATGATGGTAGGAACTGGTAATGGTAAATCATAATTAACGAGTTCTTCAGATAAACTTAATAAATCATCAACAGGAACTTTCGTAAACAAGGAAGTAACATCAAAACTAACCATGTTAAAATCATTTAAGTCAGTCAAGGCTTAATTTATCAACTAAATCTAAGTTTTTTTTAACATTGAAGTTAGAAATTTTACCAACAATAGGGCTCAAAATGTCAACAAGCCATTTGGATAATTTATACGAAACTGATCCTATGGAGCTAATAATTGGTCTGATTGGATTACCTGGTTTGTTTTTTTTATTAGTCCATACATGTAAGGTAAAGATGGATTAGTGGAAGTAAATTGTTTAATTAATTCATCTTTGCCTTTTAGTAGATGTTTTATTGTTTATTGAAATTGCTGTTAACTGTTTCTAAGGGATTCTTTCTAAGTTTAGAATAGGGTTCATCATCATCTAAGAGATTATTCATTTTTTCTTGGTAATCATTTTCTTTCATAATTACTATTGCATTTATTTTATCTGCTTTGGTAAGGCGCAAATTTTTATTATTTTTAAGTGTATCATAAGACTTAAAGAATCTTTGAGGGCAATTGGGAATGTTTTGTTTTAACATAGTTATATACCATTCCTTTACTAATATTAATTTCACCAGAGGATAAATCAGAAGATTTTTCAAAGTTACAAAAGGCTTTTGCAATTTCAACATTATTAAGTTTTTTTGAAGTTGCAAAACTTAGACCAAAACCTAGAGCAGCAGTTGTATTTTTATCTAACACTTCATCTGATAAGTTAATTACAAAATTGTTATTAGCATGCTTTGTCCAATCACTATTTTCAATTAAATTGTCTAATTTTCTTTGTAGTTTGTTTTTGAGTTCATTACAAATTCTTCCGAGTTTATTATAGCAATGATCCAACATACTAAGTTTCCATTCTGATGGAATGGCCTGATTAAAAGAGTATTTTTTGTTTCTCAATATTTTGAAAGCTTCCTTCTCCTGTATTTTAGTTATTGAATATGTTTCTGAAGAATAATTCTCATGAAATCATCAAAAGGACGATCTCTCATGTCGAGGATGATATTGGATAAAAGAGATTTGGGCAGAACTTGTTCATTTAAACAGTTTTTTTTAAAAATTAAGTCGAATTTTTAACTTGTGGGACTTGATCAGTGCAGAAGAAAACTGTGAAACAAAAGAAACATGATTAGGAAAGCTTACCGAGAATATTCTGAAGAGTCGTGTGGTATCCATTAATGCAATAAGATCACAGTAAACAGGTGATTTTAAAATATGCATAGTCATAGTTCCTTGACAATGTGAGTAGTCACAAAAGCGCTTGGAATTTCATTACTATTTCACAGTGGTTGTTTTGCATATATATATAATGTTTTTCTTCTTTTTTCTAAATAGCTCTTGTTCTACTTTATTTCTTCTATTGTCCATGGGGAAGTGGAAAAGAATCTTTCCTCCGTAAGCCGTGCGTGTTGTATGAGGCGACTAAAATGCCGGGAGCAATGGGCTAGTAACCCCTTCTCCTGTAAACATTTACTAAAAAAGAGAAGAAAAACTTTATAAAACTGGGACGCTTGAATGTGTGTGGATGTAGTGCGGATGACAAGAAAGATGATTGCTGATGTTATGAATGAAAAGAAGTTGGATGTCCTGGCCCTAAGCGAAACGAAGCTGAAAGGGGTAGGAGAGTTTCGGTGAGAAGAAATAAATGGGATTAAATCAGGATTATTTGAGAGAGTTAGAGCTAAGGAAGGGGTAGCAATAATGTTGAAGGATCAGTTATGGAAGAAGAGAGAACATGAATGTGTAAACTCAAGGATTATGTGGATTAAAATAAAGGTTGGATGCGAAAAGTGGGTCATAATAAGCATGTATGCACCTGGAGAAGAGAGGAGTGTCGAGGAGAGAGATAGATTTTGGGAGATGTTAAGTGAATGTATAGGAACCTTTGAACCAAGTGAGAGAGTAATTGTGGTAGGGGACCTAAATGCTAAAGTAGGAGAAACACTTAGAGAAGGTGTGGTAGGTAAGTTTGGGGTGCCAGGTGTAAAGGATAATGGGAGTCCGTTGATCGAACTTTGTATAGAAAGAGGTTTAGTTATGAGTAATATGTATTTTAAGAAAACGAGGATAAATAAATATACAAGATATGATGTAGGGCATAATGACAGTAGTTTGTTGGACTATGTATTGGTAGATAAGACTGTTTAGTATACTTAAGGATGTACGTTTATAGAGGGGCCACAGATATATCAGATCACTTTTTAGTTGTAGCTACAGTGAGAGTAAAAGGTAGATGGGATAAAAGGAGAATAGAAGCATCAGGGAAGAGAGAGGTGAAGGTTTGTAAACTAAAAGAGGAGGCAGTTAGGGTAAGATATAAACAACTATTGGAGGATAGATGGGCTAGTGAGAGCATAGGCAGTGGGGTCGAAGATGTATGGGGTAGGTTTAAAAATGTAGTGTTAGTGTTCAGCAGAAGTTTGTGGTTACAGGAAAGTGGGTGCGGGAGGGAAGAGGAGCGTTTGGTGGAATGATGTAAATAGTAAGGGAGAAAAAGTTAGCATATGAAGTTTTTTCGAAGTCGAAGTGATGCAAGGAGGAAAGAGTATATGGAGAAAGAGTGTGGTGAAGCAAATGATAGAGTGGGTGAGATGTTATCAACAAATTTTGTTGAAAATAAGCAGTTTTGGAGTGAGATTAACAAGTTAAGGAAGCCTAGAGAACAAATGGATGTGTCAGTTAAAAATAGGAGAGGAGAGTTAATAAATGGAGAGTTAGGGATATCGGGAAGATGGAGAGAATTTTGAGGAATTGTTAAATGTTGATGAAGATAGGGAAGCTGTGATTTCGTGTATAGGGCAAGGAGGAATAACATCTTGTAGGAGTGAGGAAGAGCCAGTTGTGAGTGTGGGGGAAGTTCGTGAGGCAGTGGGTAGAATGAAAGGGGGTAAGGCAGTTGGGATTGATGGGATAAAGATAGAAATGTTGAAAGCAGGTGGGGATATAGTTTTGGAGTGGTTGGTGCTATTATTTAATAAATGTATGGAAGAGGGTAGGGTACCTAGGGATTGGCAGAGAGCATGCATAGTTCCTTAGTATAAAGACAAAGGGGACAAAAGAGTGCAAAAATTAGAGGGGGATAAGTCTGTTGAGTATACCTGATAAAGTGTATGGTAGTCATTATTGAAAGAATTAAGAGTAAGACGGAGAGTAGGATAGCAGATGAAAGGTAGGGGGTGGGTAGACCAAGTGTTTACAGTGAAACATATAAGTGAACAGTATTTAGATAAGGGTAAAGAGGTTTTTGTGGCAATTATGGATTTGGAAAAGGCGTATGATAGGGGGGGCAATGTGGCAGATGTTGCAGGTGTATGGTATAGGAGGTAGGTTACTGAAAGCAGTGAAGAGTTTTTACGAGGATAGTGAGGCTCAAGTTAGAGTATGTAGGAAAGAGGGAGATTTAGACAAGGACGTGTGATATCACCATGGTTGTTCAATATATTTATAGATAGGGTTGTAAGAGAAGTAAATGCGAGGGTCTTGGCAAGAGGCGTGGAGTTCAAAGATGAAGAATCAAACATAAAGTGGGAGTTGTCAGTTGTTTTTTGCTGATGACACTGTGCTCTTGGGAGATTCTGAAGAGAAGTTGCAGAGGTTGGTGGATGAATTTGGTAGGGTGTGCAAAAGAAGAAGATTAAAAGTGAATACAGGAAAGAGTAAGGTTATGAGGATAAAAAGATTAGGTGATGAAAGATTGGATATCAGATTGGAGGGAGAGAGTATGGAGGAGGTGAATGTATTCAGATATTTGGGAGTGGACGTGTCAGCAGATGGGTTTATGAAAGATGAGGTGAATGATAGAATTGATGAGGGGAAAAGGGTGAGCGGTGTGCTTAAAAGTCTGTGGAGACAAAACATTGTCCTTGGAAGCAAAGAGGGGAATGTGTGAGAGTATAGTTTTACGAATGCTCTTATATGGGTGTGAAGCATGGGTGATGAATGTTGCAACGAGAAGGCTGGAGGCAGTGGAGATATCATGTCTGAGGGCAATGTGTGGTGTGAATATAATGCAGAGAATTCGTAGTTTGGAAGTTAAGAGGAGGTGCGGGATTGCCAAAACTGTTGTCCAGAGGGCTGAGGAAGGGTGGTTCGGACATGTAGAGAGAATGGAACGAAACAATGACTTCAAGAGTATCAATCTGTAGTGGAGGGAAGGCGGAGTAGGGGTCGGCCTAGGAAAGGTTGGAGGGAGGGGGTAAAAGAGGTGTGCCAGGGGCTTGGACTTTCAGCAAGCATGAATGAGCATATTTGATAGGTGTGAATGGAGACAAATGGTTTTTAATACTTGACGTGCTGTTGGAGTGTGAGCAAAGTAACATTTATGAAGGGATTCAGGGAAACCGGCAGGCCGGACTCGAGTCCTGGAGATGGGAAATACAGTGTCTGCACTCTGAAGGAGGGGTGCTAATTTTGGAGTTTTATAAACTAGTGTAAAGTACCCCTCTGGCAAGACAGTGATGGAGTGAATGATGATGAAAGTTTGTTTTTTCGGGCCACCCTGCCTTGGTGGGAATCGGCCAATGTGTTAATAAAAAAAAATATCCTGCTTTGACTGGACTTAAATTGAGACTATAACAATCGCCAAATCTTTTAAATGCCTGTATTGTAGTCCTACCATAGGGAATGATTACTCATGGCTGGTGGTAACCGTCCGTGAAATGCTGCGTCGATTATGTTCCAATAGTGCATTGGCGATGGAGTCGAAGCTTGATTCAGTTGAGGTATCCTGGCAAGGTCGCTACCTGTAAAGGTTTTTAATCGGCCCTCAAAGAACTCTCCAAAGGCTGGCCCCTTCTCAGGAAAATAACTAATAGAAAAATAATAAAATATACTAAATTTTTATTATAATAAAGGTAATAAGATGAAACAATTAAAAATGTCCATTAAACCTATTTGAAGAAAAATGACATACATGATAATATATGAACTCAAAGTTAATTTGTACAGGTGGTAGTTGTAGAAAGACATGCCGGTGTTGGTGACACAGCTTTGTTGAAACTTTCGTTGTCGTCGAGGATGAAACTGGAGTGGGGGGGCCACAGCTGCTACGTGACAACTCTACGACATTTTAGCCACACTTTTATGTCGAGCCTTGAATGATCAGTCACGATGACAGGAACGCAGGTTTTTCCCCACTAAAGACATGAGTGGTAGCTGCTTGTGTTTAGGTACAATAAGTAGATTTTGGTGACGTCTCTTAACCAAGTTTAGGTTCTACTCCTTAAGGAATCTCTGCAGTTGCCAGATGAGCGAGTGGAACAAGCTTATTAAATTCTGTGGCTGGCGTGATGCAGAGCTCGAGCCGTGTGTGGAGGAGGCATTATTCTGCATGGAAGGCTTTGAAGGAGGTTAACTTCCACTTCGATCTTGCCCACACGACTGTGCTGACACGTGCCCACGAAACTCTCGATGCCATTCTGGAAGAAATTGGTCAGAAAGACATCCCAGTTTACAAGACATGGCGATTCAATGAACGTCACTATGGTGACCTTACTGGGCTAAATAAAGCTGAAACTGCCCAGAAGCATGGAGAAGAGCAAGTGAAAATTTGGCGTCGCAACTTTGACATTACACCACCACCAATGGATGAGAGCAACCCAGACTATAGAGAGATCCTGGAGGATCTTCGCTATGCTGATAGCCTCAGCAAAGAGGAGTTTCCGAAGTTTGAATATCTTAAACTAACAATTGAGAGGACTTTGACCTCCTGGAATGGCACCATTGTGCCCCAGATTAAAGATGGGAATATTATTATTAATGCTGCTCATGGAAATTCCCTGAGAGGCAATGTCAAACATCTGGATTCAGTGTCTGATGAAGCATTTATTGGTTTGAACTTGCCAACTGGCATTCCCTTTGTGTTCGAGTTGGATGAAAGTCTGAAACCTGTGGTCTCCATGAAATTTTTGGGAGATGAAACTGTTCGAAAGGCAATGGAAGCTGTGGCAGCCCAAGGCAAGGCAAAAGAAATTATAGGTAAAATAAAATGGCCTGTCTCTACTCGCCTTTCCCTGAGATTTGCAGAACGAGCTATTTTGTTAGAATGTAAGTTGTTAGTCATTCACATTAAATTTGCTGTTAAAGCTTGTGATGTATTCAGTTCCCTTGACGTATCATAATTTGAGGGAATATAAATATATTTTTGTAACGGCTTGATAAAGCTCCTGGAGAACGAAACTTTGCCACAAAATGTGTTGAGAATCTACAACCACGGTGCTCTCCACACCAACTCTAAGGACGAGGAACTGATTACCTCATCTTTCGTATATAGTTCTACTGTCTTCAAATTATGTCCTAGAATCTGTATTGGTAAAGCCACTGGATGGCGAAACGTCTACAACAAAGATAACTAGATGTTGCACGAGTCTTAACTTTTATCTTGTCGGTATTGTATACCTTTCTTGCACATTTTCCTGCATAAAAACTAAGTGGAAGTGTTAAAATCCTTCACATTTCCTTATCACTGTCGGTGAGCTGACCCCGAGTGGGCCTATCTTGTCCCTAATCATATGTCTGTATACCTGAAAGAATCCTTTTGGGTTAGTCTTCGATTCTCTTGCAACTTTAACCTCATAATCTCTCTCTGCTTTTCTTATTACCTTTTATTTCTCTCTAGCTGAATATATTGATTTCTTAACTGCCCCCCCCCTCCTCTTTTGATTCGCCTATGTATGCCTCCTTTGAGCAGTGAGATGTTTCAATCTATTGTTCATCCATTTAGGATCAATTTTGTTTGATATGATTTCCCTGTTTGGAGCATAAGTTGTCTGAGCAGCTAGAACTATGCTCTGAAAAACATATTGGCAACCATCACCATCTATCTGACCCATAGCCAGGTCATTCCAGTTCAGCCTTCCCTGGTAATTTCTCAGTCCTATGAAATCAGCCAAGCAGAAGTCAGGGACAGAGACTTGATTGCCATTATTAAGGTAATTCCCTGATATATTAAAACTGCATGATTTGTGATCACTTTTCCCAAGCTCATCATTATCCTCAAAACTAGTAATTAGTGATTCCCTGCTGGCAAGAACCAAGTCAAACAGGTTATTTCCTCTACTTGGTTCTATCACAAACTGTTATAAAAAAACAATCCTGAATTGCATAAAGAAATTCACTTGACTATAAATTTTCGGTCAAATTGCACATTTTCGTATGTAAATGCCTTAGGAATTTCATCCCACTTTTCAGACCAAGACAAATTTGTCGAAATTTTCCTGGAGTTCATTGGTATCCTCAGAATGAATCATACGGCCTATTTTTGTATCAACAAATTTGCTCATGTCACTTGTAATTCCCTCATCAAGATCATTAATTAATGTAAATTATGAAAAACATTGGGTCTAAAATTGATCATTGTGATAGGCCACTAGTTACTAGTCGGGATTCGGATTTGGCCCCGCTAATGGAAACACACTTTCTATTGGTAAGCCATGCCTCTGTCCATGTTAGAACTTCACTTTCTTCTTCACTTCTTGAGAATTGGGATATCTTGGAGCTCCAGCTGTTCGAGAATGTCATTGCCAAATGTCTGGGAATTCTGTTGGACTATGGTATGGGGCAGAATGAGAGTACCACTACAAGAATTGAGGGAATGATGTTTTTCGATAGTGATAGGAATAGTATCGATATGTGAAAGAAGAGAAAGATCATGAGCTTGGGTAGCATTCTGGACTGTGATGATATGCATACCACTCTTAAGAGCATGAAAGGAAATGTCTCTACCAACATGGCGGAGGAGCGCCTTGCCAATACTATGGTCGGGAAGATAGGCAATAGAGGAAGTCGGTCGTAAAGTAAAGAATTTAGTCCATTGTGCATTCTGAAACTGAGCGTGTAAAGGGAGAGTATAACATGTCGGTCTTTTCTGAGTAGAACGAGAAGGTGGCAAAGAAGTATCACTGGGCAATTGTCGTTGACGTTTAGGAGTGGGACTGGAGTTGGTCCGATGTGGGACGGGCTGGCGATTCGAAAATTGCCACACCGTAGAGGGAGAGGCCGGAAACATAGTCAAAGGAGAGCGGAGGTCAGACAAAAATTGAAGGGGTCAGTTGAAACCCCGGCACCTGAAACGGGTGACGAAACAGCACCAGCAAGAGGTACAGGGACCTTAGGACTGTCCAAAGAGTGGTCAAAAGACGAGGCGAGGTCAGAACGGGTATGGTAACAAGAAGGGGCCCGGGGGTAGCAGAGTCATGGATTGGGAACTCCATGGTTAGGTTACTTCTTTTTTTCTTTTTGTTTTTAAGAAAAAAAATAAAAAAAAAATAAGAATAAAAGGGGGGGGGGGACAGTTCCTAGGAGGAATGAAAGGGCGAGAAATCTCCCTCCGTGCCCAAGAGGACCTCAGCACCGCAAGAAGCGTAGATGCAGCATGGAACCCGTGCCATACCCTACCCTTCATGCCAGTAAACCAGCAATCCAGGATAGCAACCTCACATGTGCCAAGCTACCTCGGTGGTGGACAAAAGAGAGGGCGGCCGGATATCAGCCACAAAGCATACCTCCTTTGGCCACCACCCCCGGAATCCGAAAGGTGGCTTCCAGATACACCCGTCGCCCGAAAGACGCCCAAAGCCGCCCTCCAGGATATTGGAGAGGGATCGGGACATCCCCAGGTGATCCAGATTCCACGGCAAACTACGCTACCGCCAAGAACCTCAACGGAATAGGATGGACCCCGGTACCCTTTCCCCTACCTAGGAACTAGGGCGCCTGTGGGAAAAATCCCAAAGGTCAAAAAGAGGAAGGGCAAAAGGGACGGGTGGGGAGGAGGAGGAAAGGAAAAAGGGGAGGATGGGATAGGGAAGGGGGGATTGGGGGGTAATTAGGTTCGGTCTGAGGAAGGAGACTAACAGGTTTAATTCCTCAGACCAACAACCTCTTCACCACGCCAAGGAGCCCCCCTTGAAGAGGTCCATACATACATAACTGGGAAGATAATGATTTTTTTTTAATCAGTTCATTTTTGTCTTTCAGTAGTAGTTTTGTTTTGTTACTATTAACTGAATCCAAGAGATTCTTTCTAAGTTTGCAATAAATATCTTCATCATTCTAGAGATTATTCTTCTTGGTAATCAGTTTTTTTTTCTCAAGATTACTACTGCATTTATTTTGTGTGCTTTAGCAATATGCAATTTTCTTAATTATTTATAAGGTTGTCCCTGGGCTTTAGAAATGCTCTCGCCTCTGACACTGTCTGGGATCTATCCCCGGCATTGGTGGGAATATTGGAAAGGTTTCCTTACACCTGCTGCACTTGTTGAGACCATTACCCCACTCAGACAGCTGTATGCCAGTGAGAACGTATAGTGTTAACCTAGTGCGAATATTTGGTACGTAAAGTATACCACTTGTTGGAATTACGAAACACTCAGTCTTAAGACTGCCCAGCATAGGCTCACAGGTCTATTGCAGTGCTTCTTAATATAAGAGGAGGATAGCAAACAAGGGTAAAAAATAAAAATGGGAACAATGGCTATAATTTACTTAATAAATAGAGGTAATACACAATATCTATTGGCTTGTTGCCAGGAGGGGATATGCTATCAGTAACACGAATTTGTATCCTTAAGACACCAACCAGCTGACCAGGGCTCCACCGTAAGTTGGTCCAATACACACACTGCTGTCGAGAGCTCCCGCTCACAGGCCTCCGCCTCTCCAAGGAGCCTGTTTTTTTGTCGTTTCACTGGGTTTTTATGGTCCAACGGACAATTTTTCCCTTTGTAGTCCTAGGGTCACCCTCCATTGGGGGGGATGATTCTAGGACCCATGGGGTGAAAGCAGGCGTTTCCTACAGTTTTAAAATTTTTATGCCAAGGCTCAGGTGTGGGCAATTATCACTGGTTGGTCGGGTTCTGCTGTGACCTGATTTGTGAAACTTCCCTCCTATGTCACACAGTATACCTAACAGTAAGTAGGTGCCTGGACGTTAGCAGACTGTTGTGGGTCGCATCCTGGGGGACTAAATTGAAACACCCCAATGGAAATAAGACAGACAATCCTTGATGCTCTGACTTTGTAGGGTTATCCTGGGTGGGTAACCTTCCGGGTTAAAATGCTAACAAATCTTATGTGACGTAAAAAATCTGCTATTAAAAGCACAGGCCAGTATTTTCAAATGATTGACAGTGACAAGTGCAGCAACGAAACTTGGAGGTGGAACTTGCCTCACCTGGGTAAATTGCAAAAATATTTTGCTAAAAATTCCAGAAATGTAATGATGCCAAATAATGAATCGGAGGTCCAATTTTCTCCGTGAAGTTGCTTAATATATTCAGTTTTTCAAAGATATCTGGCAAATAGTTTAAAACTTTATTATCAACTGTCAACAGTAACTTCATTTCAGGTTAATCCTCTAAGAATATCAAAGTTATATGAATCTTTTCAAGCAGTTGCCCTGTTACAAATGAAAAATTGTGTTGATAGGTTAAGTAATTGAAGCGTGTAGATAACTCAAGGGAGTAATAGAATGAATCCCCCTCCGTATTTGGTATGTGAATAATTTTTCTTATTTGTAAGATGGTGGTGTTCCAAGGTCAGGCCTAGTTATCATTTGATAGAAATACCATCATAATAGAGGTTTGGGATTATAACTAAGACGAAATAAAATTAAAGACCTTTAATACAAAAGTGTAATTACGAGCTTGTGGAGTGCTTAGTTCTTTAACAGTAAAGAGAGGAGAATAATCTCCTAAGAAAAGGTTTTATTTCTTACTCGTAATAATCCTTAAGTTAGTATTACTTGATTTTTCTATCAATTATGTAATTACCATCAGGAAATCAAGGCTTCATCAAAAATGATTTTAATTTAATTGAAATAAATAAATATATATATATATATATATATATATATATATATATATATATATATATATATATATATTATTTTAATATATATATATATATATATATTAATATATATATATATATATATAAATATAAATAATAAGATCACAGTAAACAGGTGATTTCAGAATATGCAAAACAACCACTCTGAATGAATAGAGAAATTCCAAGCGCTTTCGTGACTACTCACATTATCAAGGAACTATGAAAGTAAAGCATCCAAGGAAGCTATATAAGGGGTCTGGCCAGCACCTCACTATCAGATCCCACAACGGTTAAACACCTGACGTGCGCCAACCCAACTTGGATAGGTCCTTTGCACAACTCACCCCACAAACTATTCTACCCAAGAAAATTTAAAAATTATTTGTCCAGTGTATTATTAAATTCTTCCCAAATTCTATTAATTATAAATGGATCTAATTTATATAAACCAAAGGAAATATTCATATTATTGTCAAAACTGCTTTTTATGAAACAAGATTCAATTATATTCCTGTCGACCATGGACTTGCTTGATACTATTTTCTCA